TGAGTCTCGGATAGGTTTAACAATGTGGAGCTCTGTCGCGAGCCGGAATTCGGGTACGGAATTCAGGGATATGTGGTTTATCGGCTGCAGGTTTCGTCTTCGATTGGCGGTCGATTCGTACTCCGTGGCTTGCGAGGCATTTTCTGAACACCGTCTTCTTCTGATTCCGGTTGGGGGTACAAGCAAGCAGCTTTGATAGGATTTGCGAGGATCGTTTTCTGTGTTTTCGCTCTGAAGAACAAACAAAGTTGTTTCTTTGGGGAGATTGTTTTCGTTATGGATTCCTGTAGTGGTTTGGTTGGTGGAAAATCTGATTGTGACGATGGCGGCGTTGTGGAGAAAGATCCGACTGGGAAATACTTGCGGGTACCAATTTCGAATTCTTTTGACTCTCTAATTTTAGAATTTTCATTGTTTGTTTGTAAATGCATGGTGTTGGTTTTAGGATAGAATTTTTCATCTTCTTGCTTGCTTCTTTTTTTTGTTTTGTTTTGTTTTGTTTTTTTGTTTTTTTGTTGTTGATTTGGTGATAGAATTCTTATATGAATTTGTGTTTGTTCCTCCAGTATGACGAAGTGTTGGGGAGGGGAGCATTCAAGACTGTGTATGCTTCTATAACCATTTTCTGAATCGGTTTCTTTCTTGTTGGTTTCTAAGGTTCTAAGAATTTTTCATTTGCAAATTTATTTTTGAACTTATTTGTATGCTCTTTAAAATGTAGATATAAGGCATTTGATGAGGTCGAAGGAATAGAAGTAGCCTGGTGCCAAGTGAATGTTGAGGATGTTCTGCAGTCCCCAGAACAGCTTGAAAGATTGTATTCGGAGGTTCATCTTCTGAAGTCATTAAAACATCAAAACATCGTTAAGTTCTTTAACTCTTGGGTTGATGATAAGAACAAGACCATCAACATGATAACAGAGTTATTCACTTCCGGGAGTTTAAGGCAGTGAGTTTCGCTGACTTTTTTTTATTTTATAGCAATTCATGTTTTTACGTGGCTTACATTATCAAATACTAATTGCCATGGCACCCCGGAATTCATGGCTCCAGAGCTTTATGATGAGGAATACAATGAACTTGTCGACATCTATTCTTTTGGCATGTGCATGTTAGAAATGGTGACCTGTGAATACCCTTATAGTGAATGTAAAAATCCAGCACAAATTTACAAGAAGGTTACCTCTGTAAGTTTCTGATTGCCTGCATTATGAATTTCCTCCAATTTTTTGTTTTACTAAGTAGTTGCCTAATGTTTCTCATAACTTTGTTTCAGGGTATAAAGCCTGCTTCACTCGGTAAAGTGGAAAATCCTCAAGTCAAGCAGTTCATAGAGAAGTGTCTAGTTCCAGCATCTATGAGATTGACTGCGACAGAGCTCTTGAAAGATCCATTCCTTGCAGCTGACAATTTGAAGGAGCGTAGTTGTGATCTTTCGCAACTACCCAATCTTGTGCCCAAGTTGGTGAACTTGCCACAGCCCGAAGCTCGCCCTATGGACGTAGATACTAACGACCAGAAGTTTTCTATTGGATCTTGTAGGAAAAGTGTCAATGAAACTTCTAACTCTTCAGCTCTGGAGTTTAGGAGGTTCACGGAGAATAATGAGTTCAGGTTAAGAGCTGAACAAAATACGGATAATACCGTCTCTTTAACTCTGCGCATTGCTGATACCTGTGGTAAGTGCATCTGCCATGAAAATGGGTTAATTGTTTCCCCTTATTTTTCATGAAGTGAACCTGAATGTTATTTGTCTATACAGGTCGTGTGAGGAATATCCATTTTGAGTTCTATCTTGATTCTGATACTGCAATGTCAATTGCTGGGGAAATGGTTGAGCAACTTGAGCTTTCACATGAAGATGTCTCTGTCATAGCTGAGTTAATTGACAAATTGATTATGAAGCTTGTACCAGGCTGGAAACCTTCATCCGAAAGTTCATCATGTGGAGCTAACAGTTCATGTGGGGATCATCCTGCACATCAAAATATTCTGTCACCATTGGCATATGCAGAAGACCAAGATAACCAAGCATCAATGATTTCAGATACCTCAGCCTGCTCAGCTGAGTATGACGTCCCTACTGCCTCATGTGCCGGTAATGTCAAAGTTTCAGAATTGGCCAAGTACAGTTCTGATGAATGCTGCACAGGTTCAGATGGGTACGGTTCCAGTCCGGATTGTATGGTTAAGGGCGGGCTCAAGGAGAAGAGCTATGAAGCTGGTTCTGGTGATTCTCTTGTTATGAATGACGCATGCCCTGACATGTCAAGCATTTGCTCCTTATCTGAGTTGTCTCTAGTGGACAAAGATTGGTATGATGAGCTGAAGGGGGAGATTGTTGCTATTGATGTGCAGTATCATCAATGTCTTCTGGAACTCTTGAGGATGAGGGAAGAAGAAATTCAGAATGCCAAGAAGAGGTGGATAGAAAAAAAGAAAATAGCTGCTAATTAACGTACTATTTTGTCTTCCTGGGGTGGCTTTTTTTCTTTTCCTTGTCAACATTCATTTGATTCTTGTATTTTTTTTTCCTTAAGAAAACGCAGGGATCTGTTTTGGTACATAATTTGTTTTACGGTTATTAATGAATATTTTTTTTGTTCCATGAGTTCTTGACTGTTTTATTTATTCACTTGTCCTAAAGATTCCTAGTCATCCTAGAGTATAATTTCCTCCTAGTGATGCTGGGGTTTGTTATTTTCCTTTTTTGAATAGGATTCCTAGAGTTTAATTTCCTCCTAGTGATGCTAGGATTTGTTATTTTCGTTTTCAGACTAGGAGTCCTAGTAATTCTAGGGTTAGAAGTAGTATTTATTTCAACTTTAGTGCAATTTTAATCACTAACAATATTTACCAGTAAGCTCTAGATTGAAACGGAGAATATGTTTTCTGATTTTTAGCTTTTGGCTAGGAAAATCCTCGACAAACAAGATGTTAGACAAAAGATTGTCTGATGTAGTGAAAGTGCAACAGGAAGCTGGAGCGGAACAAGAAACAAATATGAGGGAGTTTTCAGGAAGCAATAATACACAATCCATGGGGCATGACCACAGTGAAGGTAATGGTGTGCAACGGGCTACTCTAGGAACATCGTTTGGGGTGCTCTTTGGTGCTGTTATACAAGTGAAGGACAAGACTAGGATGTTTAAGCGCATCCTCGAGTATCTCGAATCCACGATAGACTCTCTAAAACCATTTATAGAAGAGATAGTAGAATATAACAAGCTATTGCATCTCTCAAAAGAGGAACTAGAGAATTTTATAACACTTATGGGGAAGGGTGCACAGCTCATTCACAAGTGCTCAAAGATTCGTAAGTGGGCTAGCTACAAGAAGTATGAATATACCAACAAACTTCTTAGATTAGATGAGTCTCTTCAAGTATTGTTAAATATATTTATAGTGCAATTAGTAAGGGATGTGAGAGAGAACTTAGTTTCCTTAAGTAATACAGAGGCTGTGATAAAGCGAATGGAAGAGAGAGATTTGATACAAAATGATGAAATTGTAAGTATAGGTTGTTGTGCAGTGCCTGAACCTCCTTCAGCTACAGTTGCATTGGATGTATTGAATATACAAGGAACACAAGATGTGATTCGTTTGGTTCACACAAGACGGGCAGTGCCTTAACATTCATTTGATTCTTGTAATTTATTTATTTTTTCCTTAAGAAAACACAGGGATCTGTTTTGGTACATAATTTGCTTTTACGGTTATTAATGAATATTTTTTTTGTTCCATGATTTCTTGACTGTTTTATTTCATGTATAAACAATTGTATTATCATGAGATTATGATTTTTTTTTTCCTCCCTTTATTAGTGTATATCATCTTTCTCTCAAGTGGTCAATTACCATGCTATTAAATTCACGCGCATATGAAAATACGTGTCCGCTCTATATTTAATAAATTATTATAGATTTTTAGAAAGATTTGTAATCGTTATCTCTTCTGTAGTCTCTTCATTATATCATAAATATTTTTTCTTATTGATCAGAAAGGAGATGATTTACTTATTTTAATTAGAGATGGATTCAAATTTTGAAAAAGGAAAGAGAAATAGTGAAAGATGATTTCATTGAGAAACCGATTGACAACAAAAATGGTGACTAATACAATTTCTTTTTTATGCTTAATTATTCAATCGGTTTTTTGGAATTTTTTTTCCCTTTTAGACTTCAATTAAAGATTCCTATTCATCCTAGGGTTTAATTTCGTGGTAGATGCTAGAGTTTGTTATTTTAGTTTTTAGACTAGGATTCCTAGAGTTTAATTTCCTCCTAGTGATGCTAGGATTTGTTATTTTCATTTTTAGACTAGGATTCCTAGTAATTCTAGAGTTTGAAGTAGTATTTATATCTACTTTAGTGCAATTTTAATCACTAACCATGTTTACGAGTAAGTTTTAAATTGAACCAGAGTTTATGCGTATATGTATCCTCAGAGACTTCTTCAATGATCATTTAACGAGTCTCCTAATTAGAGGTTTGCAAGTAGCACGATCAACTAAATAAATGCTATTGATTTTCTAAAAAATTTCTATAAATCAAGTAGGAATGAAATGACTTCAGAAAAAGTAAATAAAAATCTAGTTGGTGAAATGACTTATAATCAACATCGCAAAAGAAATTTATTCTCTAATTTTTTTATTTTTTTTTGGATACATATCTAATTTTGTCAATTTTTTTATTTATGGTAATTTAACTATACCAACTATAACATTTAAACAAAATCCAACCTTAATCAACCATACCATTTTATCAACCCAAAAAAAAAAAATTTCAACCACAACATATTGGCATGAGGAAATTCCCAAATATATATCTAAAATATTTTGAAAAATCATCTAAAAACTAAAAAAAATAAAGAGGGGAATTGTTTGCCTATTCCCTCCCGTTCCTATATTGTGTATATATGTAGGTCTGACTCCGAATATTAAAAAAATTCTCGCTATTCGTATAGAGAGAGAGAGGGAAATTGATTTTTAGTTCAGAATATTTTTGGATTGGAATTCGGAACACTTGTTTCGATCCGTTCCGACAGAATTGCAACCCTAAGTAAGAATGATTGTACATATGACGTGGCCGAACCACCCAAGCCAAGCCAAGCCAAGCCAAGCCAATACCTTCTAAATGACAATGCACCACAGTAGCTAGTCATTGCTCTATGCCACGTTAGCACTCGACTTGCTCTATGCCACATCAGCACTTGACTTACTCTACACCACGATGGTTCCAGACCAGCCCAAAAGCACACAAGACGCTTTATATTCTCTCCCATTGGATTCGGAATTGACGTTCGCCGAGAAAACCCACAGCTACTTGACTGCCTTTCCTTCCATTATAATTAAATAGAGGACCTTCATCTCTCTAGTGAAACGCGTATTCTTTTTTTTGGTCGAAAAGGTGAAATGATCATTGAACCAGAATCCAATTACAGACCACCATGCAAAAGAAGGTAAGAGTCCAAACACACACAGACTGAGCAAGGAAAAACAAGACAAGACTCAAGAGAGACCAGCATGAAGCTAAACCCCACTCAGACTGAGACCTTACAAATATTAAGTAGGAAGGCACGACAGCTCATCCGACACCAAGACATGAACCAGGGACTGCGGTGGCCGATAGGCCCAACTTTCCAGTTCCACAAACCCGAAACCTATTGATGCTGCCTTGTGGGCAGCACGATTTGCTTTCCTAGAGACCCAAGTCCATCGGCCCTCGCGAAAGTGTTGACTAAGCAAACTAATTTCTTCCAAAAAAAGGCAGAATAATCCAGGCTTGGTTGCAAGTGCGATCTTTAACACCATCTACAAGAAATTTTGAGTCAGTTTCCATAACGATAGCCAGATGGCTGCCTTGAGAAGCTAGATGGAGACCCTTAACCGCCGTTGCAGCTTCATATTAGAGATCAGAATTGCTCCAGTAGCGACATGCCAGACCAGCACAAAAAAGTCCGTCGCTATTTCGAATCACAACTCCCAAACCCGTCTTGACAGAGTCTGGTTTCCAAGAACCGTCAATGTTGACTTTGGCATACCCATGTTGTGGGGGGATCCACCGAATATCCGGTCCAAGGGAAGGAGGCCTAGGATGAAGGGGGAAGAGGGGGCTTTAGCTTACAAGAATTCCTTGGTCGCACGGTCCGCCTTAGCCAAAACACCAAGGGGCTGAGGAGCACCTCCTTCAAAGACCGCAGAACACCGAGCCTTCCAGATTTCCCAAGTGATGAAGCTAACCAAAGTGAAAGCCTAGTCTCTTTCAATATTACTCCACTTTTGAAAGCCAAAAAGATCATTGAACCAACTAGCAATAGTTGTGAATCTCTGGAGATCGACTTTGTAAGTGAGGGGAGAGGCAAACCACACTAGCTTAGTCCAAGGGCATAAAAAGAGTAAATGCTCAATGGACTCCTCATAAACCTCATAGAAAGGACAACAGGGGTCGGTAGCACATTTCCTCCTGAATAGGTTGAGCCTGGTTGGGATAACGTTGGAAACAGCACGCCAAAGGAACATTTTAATTTTTGGGAAGGTGCGGATTTTCCACAAGGCCTTCCAAACCAGAGCAGGAGTAGAGATTGAGGAGTGCGAGCTGCCAGTAAGGCTCAAACAATTAGCATAGTGGAGACAGTGGTACCTTGATTTAACCGAATAGATTCCATTAAAGGTCCAAGGCCAGATGAACTTGTCAGGAAGGAAGAAGTGCCCTAAACGCATAGCCAGAATGGCACTCGTAGTTTTCCAATCAATAAAGCCAAGAATAACATTGATATTCTAGGAGTTACTCTCAGGGTCCATAATATCACAAGCCAGTTGTGGTGCGAACGGCTCAACGGGAGCAACATGACGAATGATTCCATTACCATGAACCCAATTATCTTTCCAAATACTAGTATGAGCTCCAGATAAAACTAGTTTACGGGCATGGCTAAGGATGAAGTCTCTCCCATCAATCAAGCTAGACCAAATCCAAGAAGGCCAAGAGCCCAGCACCGCTTTTAAGAAGTCACAATCGAGGAAGTAGCGCCCTTTCATCATTTTAACCCACAAGGAATTAGGATTCAATAGGATTCTCCAACATTGCTTGGTAAGCAAGGCTAGATTAAAGTCAGCGAGGTCCTTAAAGCCAAGCCCACCATCTCTTTTGGCAAGGCATAGAGCATTCCAAGATTTCCAGTGAATTTGAGAGTCTTTATCAGGGCTGCTCCACTAGAAACGGGCAATATCCCCATTGATCTCTTTACACAAATACAGAGGTAATTTAAAGCACATCATCGGATAGGCCAGAACAGCCACCTGTTTGGGACAAAATGCCATTCTTCCAACCAGCCACTTTTTTCCTAACTTTGTCTCGAATGAAGCTCATTGCACTCTTTTTGGACCTCCCCCAAGCAGAAGGAAGACCAAGGTAAGAGCCATGATCGGATGCACATTGAATAGCAGAGAGTGAGCCGATAGCCTCTCTGGTCGATGCAGGGGTATTAGAGCTGAACACTAAGCTTGATTTCTCAAAATTGATTGGTTGACCCGAAGCAAAGCAATACTTTTCTAATGCCACTTTGAGCTTCGCACAGTTTGCAACATTAGCCTTAGAAAAAAATAAGGAATCATCAACAAAGAAAAGGTGGGATATGATTGGGCTTCGACGTGAGAGCTTGATCCCTTGGAAATGCCCATCCTCGACATGCTTAGACAGATTGCGCGATAGGACCTCACACACCAAAAGGAACAGGTACGGCCGGGGAGATGGGATCACCCTGCCTTAGGCCCCTGGAAGGTTTGAAAGGAGGCCCAGGCTTCCCATTCAACAGGACTGCAAAAGAGACAAATTTCACACAGGTCATGATTAGCTGAACCCAACTGTTGCAGAACCCCATTTTAACCAAAATAGCTTCCAAAAAATCCCACTCAACTTTGTCATAGGCCTCCTCATGTCCACCTTTAGACCAACTTCAAAAATTTTCCCAATTTTTTTTAACTTCAGATAGTGGAAGGCCTCGTGCGCGATAATAATATTAACTTGAATATGACGATCTTCAAGGAAGGCATTCTGATGGTCAGAAACTAGCAAAGGCATAAGGGCCTTTAGTCTATTGGCAAGGACCTTAGATAGGATTTTGTAGGAGGTATTGCACAAGCTAATAGGTCTAGACTAGGAGGTTTTCTCGTTAGCAGTACCTTTGATAAAACAAGGCCGGGAATTAAAGCTATATAAGTACCATTGAGATCATGAAGAGAGAGGTTCCCACCTGCAAACTCATTAGCAGTACCTAGAATAACGAATTTGGCAATTAGCCAGTACCTTTGATAAAACAAGGCTGGGAAACCATCAGGCCCGGGAGCTTTAAGTGCTCCCAATTGATCAACAGCCTCCTGAATTTCCATCTCCAAAAAAGGGGCCACGAGATTACGGTTTATTTCTGGGCTAACCAGCTGCGGGATGGCATCTAAGATGTTACCCCAGTCTCTAGGGCCATCCGAGGAAAAGAGATTGGTAAAATAATTGTAGAACTCCTCATGGACCCTCTTTTCTCTAGATAACCACTCGCCATGCTCATTCTTGATTTTGAGCACCCTATTTTGTTGCCTGCATTAGATGGTTGATAGGTAGAAGAATTTGGGGTTTGTGTCACCCATTCTCAGCCACTTCAGCCTTGACCTTTGACTCCAGTAAAGCACTTCATTCTTCCAAAGCTGGGCCAGCTTACTTTGAATAAAATCAACAATCACATTAAAGACCCCAAGAGGAAGGGCAGATTTGTTTGCCTCTAGAGAGTCGAGAAGCTGCTTGATATGGGCCTTGTTATTAGTATGGCGATCCTTACTCCACAAATTGAGACCATTTTTACAGTGAGTCAAATTACGGGACCATTGGCTTAAGTAAGAGCTATTTAGGTTGCTCCTTAAACAATTTGAAATCACCTCAAAGCAGGAAGAGTCTTTAGCCCATTGAGCCTTAAATTTAAAGAGCCTTTTTCCTCTGCTAAAAACTGGGTTGTTATCAAGGAGGATGGGGCAGTGGACCATTTTTGAGGAATTCAGAATACTAACCTCAATACTCGGTTTCCACCAAATACTCAAACCACCTGCCAAACCAACAGGGTGTACCGAGAACCCTTATAAAAACCACAATGACGACGCAGAGCATTGATTAAGTGATGATTATGTTTGGTCTCCATCAAAAACACCATAGTGGGATTTTTAGAGCGAATGAGCTCTTTAAGATGCAGAACTAACAAGGGGTTCCCCAACCCTTGACAGTTCTAAGAGAGTTGTATCATAACTGACGTACGGCTGATTTGGGCTAGCCGCCACCACCCTGGAGGGGGGTAAGATCCTCATTTCCCTTGCCTTTTCTCTTTGCTTCCCAAGCTGCTAATTCCTTAGAAGGGCTGACTTAGACTTCACATAAATCCGAACTCTGTTCTTCAGTCGTCAAGACCTTAGCCCCTGGAACACCATTCCATGCCCCAGTTTCTCGGCCTCTACCACCCTTGTTACGACCCCAAACTTCCCTTCCTCTTCTATTGGATAGACGGAGGGAGCAGCCAGGAGTGGGGCTGAAATGAGCCCTAATTTTCTTTGATAGTGGAACAATAGAGTTGCACTTCTTTCCATTTGAGTCATGCCTAAGATCAGTAAGCTTCCTATTTGCTTGGCCTAAGACAACAGAAGTCCCCGGGGAAGGGCCCGAATCGATTTCCTCAATGACTAGCCTACCACCTAATGCAAGCCCACCATTGGATAAAACGTCAATTGGTAACATGGATGAGAGACCTAACCTTTCCTCCTCCGTTTGAGAAATGTGGGTAAAATTGTTTTCACTACCCTTGTGGGTGCGGCCCGAGTCCATGCCAAGTTCGGAATTAGAAATTCCCATTGGTCCATTAACTTTCGCCAAGGCCCAGGGTGGAACCCGTAGAGGATCGTACCAATCTTTTTCCAATGACAGTCCATTAATGGCCACAATAAAGTGCCATTATAGAATTGGGTCCCATAGCTCTCAGGATCCCACCGCTTAGCATAGTCAGCTAGTGAAGGCATGCATCTCGAGGGACCTGCAACTTCAGTCCCATGTTGCAGCATGACAGGTTGCTGAATTGTATCAGCCTGCGCATCCCCGTTTGTCTTACTTTGCAGCAATGCAGTGTGGTGCAGAGATGCAGACAAGACAGTAGCTGTATTATCGGAAGGCATAGCTTGTCTTTTGACCAAGGGGAAATCCCCAGTATACCCTCCCCTGCCACCGAATTTGGCCACGTCCGGCCTTCTACCCCACCCGTGGGATTGGTCTGCTTGTGCTTCACCGCTCGTCGGAAAAACACGCATGGAGGCACGAGATATCGAGGGAGCACGGAGTGATTCGTCATACCGGAGGCCAAGAGCAAGGAGCCTCGGATCAGGTTTTCCACGACAGCCCCTGGAGTGGCCAAGATGGCCACAAGCAAAGCAAAAGTCTCGTAGGCCTTCGAACAGAAGTCGGATGGTTCGTTTTCTTTGTACAAAACACGGCATGCTGAATCCCGCGGGCAGGGGTTTTGATGCATCCAAGTCCACACGGATCCGCATAAAACTTCTAAACCCAACCTATTCACATTCTTCGTTTTCCAGCATAGCACCAATCCTTGCCCCTAAAATGCGGGCATTTTTTGCAGTACATTGGTTTCTTGGGATTCCATGCTCATGGACCCAAAAGATAGCTCGGTCTTGCTGAATATCATCTATGGAGTGGTACAGCGGCCAGTGTTTTACGGTGAACGTGTACCCCTTAATAAACCAAGGGTTTCCATCCAGAAGTCTGCGAGCGACAGCTTCCTCACCCACTGTAATAGAGTAGACATTTGCCTTCGCTTTACTGATTTTGACCACCCTTATATTTGTCCAAAGAACCTGTAAGATCTCCTTCACCGTGGCCAGATATGGCTCCTAATTAGCTACCAGCAAGCCCACCAGAGCAATTTTGTCTTCGATCGTATCATCAAGCTCAACTTTGTCCTCAAAGAAAATAGACAGGACTTCATCCACCTCAGCTTCATCTAACGAGTAGTAGTCTGTCATGAAAGGGAACTAGGAAGGGAAGAAGAGACGACAAAATAGATGCTTGAAAGAGACAGACACTATAAAACACCGTACCTGACATCAAAGCTCTATAGAGCTTACTCGTACTAGTGAGGACATTGGCTAATCAAGAACACTCAATACCCTGTGGCAATGTCTCTAATCGCCAGCAACTACCAATGCGTCAGAACTCAAGACCACTGAACCAAGCCATGGTGTGTAAATAAATCGAGTGAAGTGCGTATTCTTTTTCACAAAACACGGAAATTGCTATCCTTATCTCTAGACTGCTCATCCCCAAAATCCGTAACCCTAATTTCGTTCAGAATCTCATCCCGATTTACGATTCTCTATCAAATTTATGCTCTCTAAAATACTATTTTCCAATCTAGAAAACAGAGACCAGTAGAAAACTAGAGCTTCTTGTTCAGTCACCAACTGCCACAGGATTTGAGCAAAATTCGTCTAAATCCGACTGATCACTAAGGTTGGTAAAGTTGAGAATGGTTGAAACGAAAATACAAAGTTTTCTGATTCTTGTATTGTTGGTAGTGTTGTTGTAACCTTGTAATCATGGCACTTGAGATAGTTGGAGGGGTTGCTCTAGGAACAATATTTGCAGCGTTGTATGATGTTGTTAAGCTAGCCATGGGAAAAACTGTCATGCGGTTCAAACCCCTTCTCCGAGATCTCAAGTTTACACTAGACTCGCTAGAGCCACAAATCATCCAATAGATAGGAGAACATAACTTGGCTTTAGGTCTCCCAAATGACGAAATAGAGATCCTTCAACAAAAAAATGAAGGAGGGCATAAAACTCGTTGTCAAGTTATCGAAGCTTGGAATGTGGGATTGCGGCATCTGGTGTAGTTGTTGCAACTGCATGAAGCCCAGTTATACTGACGAGCTTGTTGAATTGGACAGGTTTCTTAGAATACTGTTGAAAATACTGAAGCAGCAAGAAGCAAGAGATGTAAAGGAGTCATTACTTTTGGCTAGGAAAATCTGTGACCAACAAAATGAATTAAACAAAAGACTATCTGATTTAGTGAAAGTGCAACAAAGACTATCTGATTTACTGAAAGTGCAACAGGAAGCCGGGCTGAGAAGCAATAATACACAGCCGACGGGGCATTGCCAAAGTGAAGGGAATGGTGTTCAAAGGGCTACTCTAGGAACATCGTTTGGGGTGCTATTTGGTGCTGTTGTACAAGTGAAGCACAAGACTAGGATGTTTAAGCCCATCCTCGGGTATCTCAAATCCACGATGGACTCTATAAAACCACTTATAGAAGAGATAGCAGAATATAACAAGGCATTGCATCTCTCAAAAGAGGAAATACAGAATTTTACAATACAAATGGAGAAGGGTGCTGAGCTCGTTCACAAGTGCTCTAAGATTCATAGGTGGGCTAGCTACAAGAGGTATGAATATACCAATGAAATTCTTGGATTAGATATATCTCTTCAAGAACTGTTAAGAATACTGAGAGTGCGGTTAGTAACCGATGTGAGAGAGAGCTTAGTCTCCTTAGGTAATACAAAGGCTATGATCAAGCTAATTGAAGGAAAAATAGAGGAAAGGGTCAAGCTAGTTGAAGGGAGTGGTGTGGTACAATTACCGAATGATCAAATTGAAATTAAAGGTTCATGTGAAATGATTGAACCTCCACTGCCTACAGTTGCATTTGATGATCTAAATGTACAGGGAACAAGGAATGGGAAGGAGACATTGAAGAAGGCAAACAAACAGATTAAGGGGATACATTGTATAATGGTTTACAAAGACAACCAGTAAGGAATGGACATGGAGCAGAAAATGGTCTCTGATAATTCTCATTCCAACAAGCAGTAAGGCCAAAATTTGGCCTTCGTCGTTCTTCAAATATGGTTTCAGGAGTTACATCTAAAACTAAATTTGATCCACTACATAGCTTCTACCCATACAGTTCCACAAGCTTTGCAGATAAGCATCTTATGTGTCCAGCTATCATCACATGACAACAGAAGGATTGTGATTACATTTGAAGGGGTAAACAACCATTGTTATGATAATCTTGCAGCACACGGCTGTGGCAGTTACAGTGATGTGAACAAACTTTCTTTTGATACTAGGGCAGTAGCAAGAGGTTATGCATGGCAAATGGGTGGGGGTCTCTGAACTTCATGTTCAGTCACCAACTGCCACTGGATGATTTGTTATATATGATTTGCTAAAGGGTGCTTTACATCATAGAAAGCAAATTCAAGAATGATTTGTTAGATAGCACCAATTTTAGTCGACTAAAAGGGTGATTGTTGAAGGCTGCCCTGTTTACACTTGAAGAAATTGTATGTAATTTTTTTCATTCTTAAAGAATTGCACTAGTTGGATAGAAAATAGGATGATTTCTTTCCAATCAACTGTTGTTTTCTTGGTTTGTAATGGGGAAAGCAACGGATTTCATTTGTAATTTGTGCATGGGCAGTATTCATGCTTGAATTTGGTCCAACAAAATGTTGGAGAAGTTTCACAAAAACAAAATTAATGTTTGAGAATCCTACTAGATTGAAAGATGCTACAGAACTCGTACTGGTGTGATATGGTATGTCATTTTTTGGTATTTATAATTAGAGGTGGGCTCAGTTTGGGTTGGTTCGGTTTTGGGCTCAACTCAAACAACAAACCGTAGGCTTTTGGTTATTTTGAAAACCGAAACCAAACCATAATTGATGAAAACCGACCACTTCGGTTAACTGGACTTGGTGGTTTGGTTTGGTTTGGTTTGGTTTCGGTTTTTTGGCTTTCTTAGAGAGAGAGAGAGAGAGGGAGAGAGAGAGAAGAGACATAAGTGAGAGGGAGAGATGGAGAAGAAGAAGAAAAAGAAGAGGAGAAGAAGAAAAGAGAGAGAAGGAGAAGAAGAAGAAGAAGAAGAAGAAGAAGAAGAAGGAGACGGGGAGAGGGAGTGAAGACATATGTAAGAAGAAAG